GGGGTTCTCAAGGCAAGAATACTGAAGTGGTTTGCCATTCCCTTCTCCAGTGGACCACATTGTGTCAGACCTCTCCACCAGGACCCGTCCATCTTGGGTGGCCCCACACGGCATGGCTTAGTTTCATTGAGTTAGACAAGAGTGTGGTCCTGTGATCAGATTGGCTAGTTTTCTGTGATTATGGTTTTAGTGTGTCTGCCCTCTGATGCCCTTTGGCAACACCTACCCTCTTATTTGGGTTTCTCTTACCTTGGACGTGGGGTATCTCTTCACGGCTGTTCCAGCAAAGCACAGCCGCTGCTCCTTACCTTGGAGGAGGGGTATCTTCTCACGGCTGCCCCTCCTGACCTTGAACGTGGAGTAGTTCCTCTCAGCCCTCCTGCACCCCGCAGCAGCTGCTCCTTGGAACTGGGGTAGCTCCTCTCGGTCACTGCTCCTGCCCTAATAAAAATTTATGATTTTCCAGTAGCCATGGATGTATCAGCATCCATTCTGGTTTTTGGAGACATTACAGAAAATTAAATTTTAACAGTATAAAACTGTCTATTTTCAAAGTTTCAATTTCAGTTAAATTGAAGATTTAAAAAACAAACTTGCCTTTTTGGACCAATTTTTTGTGTGTGTGTTCGTGAGACTGAAAGCTTAGACTGAGGAAGGCAACTTGATCTTTTGATCTGATGCTTTCTGCCTATATATATTTCCTTAAAAGGAGACTGAACAATTCTGCCTACAGTCTATTTGGACAGAATGTATTCAAAATGCTAATACAATCACATTATAATAAAGGAGATATGGCATCACCTTTAAAACCTGTCATCAATCCAGTAACATGTTTAAACACAGTAATTCATATGACCATTTATATAATAGACCAAAATATCATCTATTGAAAAGCTAAGTTAAAACAAAAACTTGTTCTACTGGGAAAATTAGCTTTTCAAAATGAATTATAGTAGTTGTAAATTTTTGGGTATTATCCTCTATTAAAATTACATAGCCTATTTCATCAGTGCTTAATGAGCCCTGAATGTCCAACATCTTGGGTCTCTATGTAGCTTGGGCTCCCCTGGTAGCTCAGCAGGGAAAGAATTCGCCTGCAATGCAGGAGACCCTGGTTTGATTCCTGGGTTGGGAAGATCCCCTGGAGGAGGATATGGCAATCCACTTCAGTATTCTTGCCTCCTGGAGAATCCCCATGGATAGAGGAGCCTGGAGGGCTAGAGTCTATGTGGTCACAATGAGTTGGACACAACTGAGCGATTCAGCACAGCTATGCAGCTGAAAGTAGAAGATTGAAAACTTTCCAGAGTGTCTTTATCAACAAGTATATTGGTTTGGCTTAAGCATCTGACTGTTACAAGGAAAGTAACTGTTCTTTATACAATAGGATGTCTTTTTTCTTTACAAATAGAGAAAAAAAATTTTCCAGGTTGATTACTTGATTTACTAGATTTAGACGAATCACAGATATAGAATTCCTTTAATAGGCCTCATGTTGAATATTGTAATTAATTATGCCTTTGGAAAGATTTATAAACAACTGTAAAAAAGGAGACACTGTACAGAGGGAATAAAGCAAAGATAGAAGAGTGAAGGTGTGGATTTACTCAATGGATCACAAAGAGAATAAGGCAACAGTCTTTTTGAAAGTAGCAGTACATACACCACTAAATGGAGGATGGTCTGAAAGGACAGCAAAGAGTGGAAATGCTCATGAAGAGCAGACTTAATGAATGACCCTCCTTATATGACTGTGTGCAGCTCTTGAGAGCTGGGAAGGAGCCTTCCATGTTCCCTGGAATGAGAAAATAACTGCCTTATCCATGAAGTACATCAGAGAAATTTTCTCTACAGCTGGAGAAATTGGACTGATTTCTAGAAAATATAACATCTTTAATATATAGAATTTGAGTCTTAACTATTTTTCCATGAATTTCTGATATGTACCTTATCTTTCTTCTTTCCAGGGAGCAAAAGAGTCTCTACATTTATGCACCAGCTATGTCAGGACCTTTCTTAATATCACCTTACAAAAGTCAAGATTTTCATGCTTTATTTTTGCAAAACACACCTTATCTTACAATTCAAGAACTGGTGACACTCCCTCCCTCCCCCACCACTAAATGGAGGATGGTCTGAAAGGACAGCAAAGAGTGGAAATGCTCATGAAGAGCAGACTTAATGAATGACCCTCCTTATATGACTGTGTGCAGCTCTTGAGAGCTGGGAAGGAGCCTTCCATGTTCCCTGGAATGAGAAAATAACTGCCTTATCCATGAAGTACATCAGAGAAATTTTCTCTACAGCTGGAGAAATTGGACCGATTTCTAGAAAATATAACATCTTTAATATATAGAATTTGAGTCTTAACTATTTTTCCATGAATTTCTAATATGTACCTTATCTTTCTTCTTTCCAGGGAGCAAAAGAGTCTCTACATTTATGCACCAGCTATGTCAGGACCTTTCTTAATATCACCTTACAAAAGTCAAGATTTTCATGCTTTATTTTTGCAAAACACACCTTATCTTACAATTCAAGAACTGGTGACACTCCCTCCCTCCCCCTACCCCCCATAAGCAGCAGCACATTTCAAAAGGATTATTAAGACATCATTAAAATCCACACTTTGAACAAAAAACCAACACTTTTAAAAATTCAACATGTTCACAATGGAATGGACTTCAGTTTCTACAGATGTGGCTTGAGCATGATCCACCTATTTTTATTGGTACTGATTCACCAATTTATTCCCAATGCTAAATTCAGCAGAGAGATGGTCATTCTACACAAATCCTGGACCCTGAACACCAACCTTCCTCATCGAAAGGAAAACATCACTACCCTCATCAGTATCCCTGCAAAACACAGACCCAGTACTGTCAGTACATTGCCTCCGAAGAGCAAATATTTTGAAAGATATTTGAAAACGTAAACTAAATGACTGGCCTATGAACCATTTATTATACATTACTCAAGTTTTTTTCTCTATGGAATCCTTTGTAAAGCATCAGCAAGGCATTGTAGCCATGGTATTTATAACAATACAGGCTTATATTTTTGTCAATGGTTATGCATTTGGACATTAGAGAAGGAAATGGCAACCCACTCCAGTGTTCTTGCCTGGAGAATCCCAGGAACAGGGGAGCCTGGTGGGCTGACGTCTGTGGGGTCGCACAGAGTCAGACACGACTGAAGCGACTTAGCAGCAACAGCAGCATGCATTTGGACATGTTGGAGAACTTTGCTATCTTCCATGTTCTACCGCTCTTCTGGAAATCTGAGCGAATTTTCATCTTTCTACTATAAGTTGCATATAACTTATGCTTGGCAACTTCAGAATGCTATGCTAGTACTAAGAGATGTAAATGATAATACAGAAATTATTGTGTGGAAGATTACTAGCTGTAGAATGTTCACTCATAGTCATTTGTTGTAAAATTTCTTGCTTTCATTGTCACCTCAAAAAGACTGGTTTTGAACATTAAAAGATGTTCCTTAAATCTTGTACTTTGTCTAGTTCCTCTTGTGTCACAAAACATTTACTCTAGTTTTCTAATTGTTGTATCTGAATTTTTGTTTCTGTATGAATCTAATATTTCCTTTTGAAATATTATTTCTAAATTCAATCTTTACAACTTTTTCCTTATCTAATTTTTGAACCAGTTGGGGGATAAGGAAATAAAAAGATAGCTGGTCATGCTTTAAAGGTACAGAACTTAAATTCTAGATTATGAAAGACCTTTCCTTTCTACCAGAAGATGTATTGCTTGGTAGTCCTGCTTTCTTAAGCAGAAGTTCACTTATGGCAGAGACCACAAGTCCTCCTAAGAAGGCTCCCCATAGAGGAGGATGATGGACCACATTCTGCCTTGTGTTTTACAGGATAAATTATTAGTAACTGGTTTGCTTAGATACTAAAATCAGGAATAATCTTGTCATGTCAGTTGCCAGGGTAAATAAATACCAAAAACTGCAAACTGAGATAACACCAGTTTGGAAGGATCTTTGAAAAAATTTTGAAGATATTAAAAACATACTGATGTAATATCCTTTCATTTCCTGGGAATAGAAAAAGTAACCTCCTAAAATATGGGGATGTGTTTGAGAAATTAAAATGAACAAAGTGTAACTCAGGCTTCAGGAGCAGGAGAGCAGGTTTCTGACCTGCCTGGACACTGCCTGAATTCCGTGCCTGCCTGTAAGTCCCACCAGTCAGACAGTATTTTATATGAGAAAGAGAGTGGATCTTGGAATCTACTAAACCCCTGAAGGCCTTATGAACCCTCTAGGGGTTCTAAGAAACGTTGACGATTCACAAGGTGAAACAAATGGCATTGTAAAAGTTAAAAACCAAAACTGCAATTTTGCAAGCAAACTGATGATGCTATGTTTGTATACGGCCTGGGATTGTAAATGGGAGACCTCAAAACTTCAGTCTGAAGTCTCACCCATGGGGTGGATGTACTTTCCAGGACCCTTTCCCTGTTGGGGCTCCAGATTAAGGAGGGACTTCTCAGTGCTGCTCAAGTCTGGATATGGATAGGCCCAATCTGGTGATGTATAAGCTGTGACTTCTTCATTGCTTGTATTTCTTTTTTTTAAATGACTGTATATTGAAGTTAACTCAAATAATTATCCATAAAAATTGAAATTGTTTATTTGTGACTAAGGAGTGGTTTCTTTTGTTAATGAATTCATCAAACCTAAAGGAAAGTAAAACTTTTGGCAAAACATCATGTGAGATCCTAGACATCTGTCTTCTAATACTGAGTCTACTTTCACTACATTAGGATACCTGTGGACATGTTGATTTAGGAAGAATATAAAGGATATTTCTTTCAGTCTTAAACTAAATAGGGTTGAATGTAAAGCAGAAATAGTTCAGAAGAATTGAATAAAAAATTACATACCCACCTAAGGGTAGATAGAACTGTATAACCAATCAATGATTCATATTTTAAATCTTCATACAGAAATGTACCTCATATTATTTGCGTGCTAAGTCGCTTCAGCCATTTCTGACTGCAACCCTATGGACTGTAGCTTGCCAGGCTCCTCTGTCCATGGGATTCTCCAGGCAAGAATACTGGAGTGGGTCACCATGCCCTTCTCCAGGGGGTCTTTCTGACCCAGGGATGGAACTTGCCCCTCTTAGGTCTTCTGCATTGGTAGGTGGGGAGAGAGGTTTTGACTTATGAGTCCATAGTACTCTCTCTATTCTAATTTTTATCATTCCTTACCATATTTTCTTTAAATTCTGTAAATTTACAAAAGGAAAAACAATCCATTCATAAAGATAAATGAAATACATTAAAAATACCTAGTAGAAAGTATAATACTTTGTTTTAAAAATGGGAGACAGTTATTTTTATATGATGAGTGAGTTTGGATGTGAGCGCGTGTGCTTCCACATGCGTGTGCTGAGGCGGGAGTTGGGCACTTTAGGGAATATGTCTCATGTTGACTTAACTGCCCCAGAGCAAGTATAATTGTACACATGGATGGATTAGTCTGCTTTTTTTCATTGAAAAATTGCCCCATATTTTAAAGAGGCACGTTTTTATTCAACATTGTTAAATCACCCCAAAAAACCAGGTGTTTAAAACTTAAAGTTTGAAAATTTGTATCATCTGCAAAGGGGTTAACATAAATTGGAGAATCTGTGGCATCTTAAAATGGGTTGAGGCTTACTGTTGCTGACAAGCACATGAAGAAAAGAAAATGTGTAGATCTTTCAGTACTCAGAAAAAAAGGTTAAAGGGGGTGTCATCTTAGGGGAGACATAGCTATATGTTAGATTTTTACATGTGTGATAATCTGTTGATCTTATTAACCCATTATCCATGTCTGGTCTGAATTACAAAATATCTTTCTAGCTGGAGTTTGTTGCAGGTGTGTTCTGTCAGTTCAGCGTTTCTGGTTGAAGTTCAATGTATTAGAGACACTGTGGCTGCCTTCTCTTTATCTGCCTCTTCATGGTCACCTACAACTATAAACAACCACTCCACTTAATTAATCACTATTCATTACGCTTTTCTGCATATACTTACAGAATTACCTATATTTGTTTTTCTGAGTTATTTACAGCAAGTTGAGTTAATGAACTAAACATGAATTAGTGCCAAATACTGGTATCAAAAAAATACAGGCATACTCTGCTTTTTCCTTTCTTGGCTCAAAGGTAGCTGCATTATTAAATATTTGTGAAAATAAAAATTTCCTTTAGTAGAAAAATGATTTGCTTTTCATTTATTTAGTTTTGAATGTGTATGATTTGAATGTTATTTGATATTACTATTGTAACTATATATTAGCTATTATTCACCCTATCTGAGTTTTTTACATATTAACTTCTATTCTCTTTTCCCAAGTGTTCTCAGATGCTTGTAAGCTTATGTGCACATATTTCCAAAATTCTCCATTCTATACACTCATGAAGGAACTAGCTTCATGAGTGACATAGTTAAGGACAAACGGTTTAAACTCTTGTTTATTTCACTGTGTGAAATCTGAGTCAGGTGCTTCAGCATCACCTGTGAACTTCTTAACAATGCAGAATCTCAGGTTCTATTCTAGACCTACTGAATCAGAATCTGTAGTTTGGTAGGATACCAAAGTGTTTTCTAGTCACAAGGAAGTAAAAATGCCCACATTTAAATCACAGTGAAACAGACTACTTGTGTAACAGTTTTATTTGTCTTGTTCTTGGTATTAGGTAGATTTATTACAGAATGACTTGAGAGAGCGAAGTTATACAAGCATACTGCTATGAGAAGAAAGTTCATCGTGCTTGACAATTTTCTATAAATATTTCACTTCGCAGAAGGAAAAGGCAACCCACTCCAGTATTCTTGCCTAGACAATCCTGTGGACAGAGGAGCCTAGTGGACTGCTGTCCGTAGAGACACATACAGTCGGACATGACTAAAGCGACTTAGTATGCATGTATTGGAGAAGGAAATGGCAACCCACTCCAGTGTTCTTGCCTGGAGAATCCCAGGGACGGAGGATCCTGGTGGGCTGCTGTCTATGGGTTCACACAGAGTCAAACATGACTGAGGCAACTTAGCAGCGGCAGCAGCATTTCACTTAGCTTTGTCGTTTGCTCT